CTCCTGCTCCTTTAATTTTCGTACTTCCCTTTCCAATCGCTTGCGCTCATATTGTAACTGCTCATATTTTTCATATTTCGTTTTTGATTTTATTTCCAATAATTTGCGTTTCCTTTTAATTTCTTCCAACTCGGTACTCTACGGGAGAGAATTTTTTTTTGTTGAAAATAAGTATTAATTAGCCCTATCACAATTAGGAAAAATTGTTTTTGTTTACTTTATAATATTTGGGAATATTTATTCACATGGAAGATTGAATTTGAAGAATATTTCCTTTTACAAAAAGTTGCTAAATTGGGTAAATACAAAAATTGCACTTAGGCCCAAATTCAAATGGCCTATTTAACTAAAGATTGCTGATAAACTTCAAACATTTATTTTCATATCATACATTTAATCTACACTTAAATGGCCAATATTGGCTATTTAAATGTACGGTATGCAGCTCTGTGTTTGTACCAAACAACTTATGCAGCGTTTTTGCTGCATTTAAAATGCAACATTTAGCACTTTCGAACATATTTTTTCGAAGAGCGTTCATGCTATCGCATTTAGCAAATGTACATATACGCGAGCTCGAAATTGACCGCTTTTGAAAAACAGCCGAGTTCCTGTCGCTTATTCAGATCCGGATCTATCACGATCAATTCTCACGGAGAAGATAATACAAAAACTTGAATTGTTTTAACCATAACCGAAAATTTGTTTGTGTATATATACATTTGTCGGTGCTGGCAATTAAAATTTCCACAATTAATTAGGAAACAAAAGAAACTGATGTGATCATAAATTGATCAAAATTTCTATCAGCATCACATCGCTGTTGATTTTGCGTAACTTTTCTTTATCCAAATAATGTAATACTAGATTCACATATAAGTAGATTATCCTCATTTTCGAGCTTAACACCCTAATCTGTAATTATAACAAGAGATTAGCCATTCAAAATTCGTCCCTTGTTAATCTGTAATTATAAAATAATCTCAGATTTAACCGATAACTTTTCGGTGTCCATCCTAGTTTTATCGATTGTTTTTGCGAAAGAGAGGAGAAATGCCAAATGTAAAAGTAAACAAAAATGTACGCTAGCAAGTAAAAGAGGTTTGTAAGGGTATTTTTAATAAAAAGTTAAGTTAAAATATATTTATATTGCTTATTATTGCAGAAAAACGTGATCACGGTGGCACAGAGAAGAAACATAACTTTTCCTTGAGATGTAAGAATAACAAGCACAACAAATTTGACGGCTAATAATCTGAGATTTGCCTGTGTAAACGGGGTGATTAAAAAACGAGCTTTGATTGAGATAATATTGATATGTGAACATAGTTTAAAATAATAAATGAAATCTCAATCCGCGATCACTGAAACGCAGCTAGCAACTGTATACGCGAAAAAGCAATGTTGCCACTTTTTCTCATTAATCCAACCGGAAAGACCGAAGTAGCGCTACCGCTGACGGCGGCACCGTTGTTTTCTACATCGTGCTAGAGATGTTAGTTCACAAAAGACATCGATACATCGACTATTTAAACATCGATTCGAAAATGAAGCAAAACTTCGATATTTTCGATGGATCGATGTTTTTACGACATTAATATTTCCAATTAAATACTTCACCTTTTTATTGCGCCATGAACTAGAGCTGGGATACTGTCGATAGTAATAGCGACTATCGATAGTTTTTGAAAGCTATCGATGTTGGTTTTAGCGAAACTTCTCTCTTCATCTCTTCATTACATTAATTCTTTTTTCCAAGAAAATTACAATACAGTCGGCGAAAAAAATTTGTAGTTATTGGAATTTTTAGCAACTATAAGCTTACACTGAGTCATAGTCAAATTTAATAAGCTATAAAACTGCTTACGCCAAATTTGTATAGAAAATCAAATTAAGAAGCTTGAAATTTTAATGAATTTATAGTTTTTTGTGTTTTGTACAACTTTTATAAAAAATTAGCAGACACTAAACGAACAAAAAACAGTCAAAACTGCTAAAATGTTGTGGTGCCATTATTTTGACCAGTACTTTATTCGTTTTCTTATGATATGGTAAAATGTTAATAATTTCCTTTGTCGGAATTTTGATATGCGCCACCGCATTTGATCTCAGTTGAACTTTTATAAGTATGCGCTGTCAATTTAATTGAATATATTTTGTTTTGTTTGCTTTGTATTATTATAGCCAATTTCATTTCTTGGCACTTCAAAAGGGACAAACATATGTATATATAATGCCATGTTCTGACCGACATCGAAAACATGTTTTCTTTGCTAAAACTGGTTTTCGTCCATGTAAAATCTGTCAAACGAAAACCAGTTTTCGCTGAAAACTACTTGGAAACTCACGTTCCACTCATTCCAATCGGTGTCTTCACTAGTTTTTTTCGATTATTTATCGAAGTGGAAGTCATATTTTATCATCTTTAATACGCCATTTCGGATTTATTGTAAGTAACAAAAGAATGAAAGTAAATGGTTGCTAATGAAAAGAAAATGAGGGAAAAGTATTTTGGCTTAGTTTTTGCGTAGCGAAACTGTAATCAGAGGATGTAAGAAATGTCAACGAAAACACTAACAGCCAGTGTGAACAGTATTCAGCCCAAATCGCAAACTTTTTTTCTCAAAACAAGTTACAAATACAACGTCGCGTTCTTACGTGATCTTGTATTTTTGGTTCATGCCATGAACCTATGATTACTATACCATAAATTCTTGTATTCTTTGCTTTCCTATGTGCTACATATATGTTTTAAATGCTAGTTACCTTTCGGGACATGGCTTTTAGGAAACTTTGGCGCTGATTTGATTGAAAAGTTAAAACCCGTTCTGTCGGTTCCCGCCATGGTTCAGGAGTAAAGAGTTCTTTAAAATGAGACGGCATCATGTTACATAACACACGAAAACGCTGCACTTTTTTACAAAGAGGACAATTAACCTCATTTGGTACAGTTACAGTGTTAGCGGAAGGTACTCCTACACATACTTCGCATATCGTGTGATAACAAGCCAACAAAAATATACG